GTGCAGACGCTCAGGGCCAGCCAGGGTGGTTCGCCTTTCCCAAAGGGTGGTCCCCAGGCAAACAAGAAAGCTGTGTTGTCCATCTGCAGTTACTCACAACTCCCTTGTGGGATTTAGAGAAAGTACAGGAACCGCTGTCCCCCTGGAAGTTTGTGGATGGCGGCTCTTCTGTTTCTTAACCAGTGTGAGTGTGGTTCCCCCAGGGGGCCCTTTTGGCCTGTATTCCCCGCAGGGGTTTTTACTGACAGTTTCTTAATTCTTTGGAAAGAGAGGACTTTGGTCCTGTATTTATTTGGGAGGCCAGATGTTTTATCTGGAGGGCCGTGAGTTTGTTTTTATTTTGAGATTATTTACTTCCTGAGACTCCTTGACAATGTTCAGCCACACGTTGAAAACCATCCAAATTGGTGATTTCCCACTCCAATTTATTTTTCCAGCTAAGTCCCCTATTTCAGCCTGTTCACTGGAGCGACACCGCCATTGATGACAGACGGACTCGGAGTGCGATGCTTCTGAGGCGTGTTCGTTTAAGCTTGCTGTCTCTAACCAGTTAGACATCTATAAAGTCAGTTCTGATGTTTGCCATAACGCTAGAACTCTCCATCTTTCCCCGGGAGTCTGGGGAACGTTTTAACCTTCAAGACATAAGTAAGCACGTGAGAAACTCTGAAGAGCTCGGTTTGGGCATGTTCAGACACCTCACGGACGTGTCATGGGGCTGTCCCAGAGAAAGGCTCCTCGTGACCTCCCATGCTCAGAGGTCGGTCACTGCCAAGGAGCCCAGGCCCATTGTCAGCTGTTATTCCCCCTAGCTGGGCGTGGACCCCTCCCCTGGAGAACTCCGCCCCCAGGAGCTCCCGGGGCAGGCACGGGCATGAACCTCCTGGCAGGCAGCCTGCACTCGTGCTGGGGAAGGGGAGCGAGCCAGCTCTCTGGGGCCTGCGTCCCCACACATCCAGGTGGATGTTGGACTTAGCCATCTCGCAGCCCCATCCCAGTCTGGCCGTGGGACAAAGGCATAGTGGAAGTCTCTCTCGTTCCATGCCCAGAAAGCCTCCACCTTGGTCCCCTCAAAGCCTCTCATGTGTCTTCTTTCCCCGCAGAGACAGGCAAGTGCCTTTCCCGGGCCCAGGCCTCGCCCCGGGCCCAGCTGTCCTGCAGCAAGGCGGGCAGTGTGGAAAGCTGCTCCCTTTCCTGCCCGGCCCACACCCACTTCATGCCAGGTAACCCGGGGCTGTCCCTGGGGTGGGGAGGGGGGTGGGGGCTTCCCTCCCTGGGGTCCCGCCCCTGCCCCCTGCTGTCCTCCAAGAAGGAGCCTCACCTAAGAACGAGGGACCCTCGGCCCTGGTCAGAGTGATTCTGAGCAACCGTCTAATTCTCTGTGGGCCACAATGTCCCTCTCAACACGTGCAATGGGTTCGTTCCTACCCAGCCACCTACCCCATAATCGTGTGGCCAAAAATGAACCGACGGAGAGTCAGTCCTGACCTTCGTCTCATCCAGTTTCCCCTCTGAGGCCCCTGGGGTCTGGGGCGCTGGAAGGGAGGGGCGCCCAGGCCCGGCTCACCACCGCTCTCCCTGCAGACTCGGAAAACAGCTACAGCCTGAGCTGCGGCGTCCCAGGTCTCCAGGGCAAGACGCTGCAGAAGCGCAACGGCACCAGCTCCAGCACGGGGCTCAGCTGCTCAGGTAGCCCCTGGCCTGTCCGCGTCACACGCACCTGCGTGACCCCTTGACCTCGCGTCTAGCATCATGCTGGTGCAGAGAAGGAGGGCCATGGCCCAGGCCCTGCCCAGTGTGGCCCAGGGTGCTAGGGAGCAGAGTCGGGACCTAGAAGCAGACAGGCTGGGGGCTGAGTCTCAGCCCTGGGGCGGAGGACCACGGAAGGGCCCCCCTGGCTCTGAGGCCCCGGCCACAGCACCCGAGTGGGTCACTGAGTCTACGGGTCTCAGACCCTGTCTCAGTCAAGTGAGCCACATCTGCGATGGTCATTAGGTTCTAAGAGCTTCCGAGTCAGAGCTGTCCTGGAAGACCCTGCCCCAAAAGTGCCAGAGGCACTGCACTCTCATGGCCTTGGGACCAACGAGCCGGTCCCGGTCAGCACAGCGCAGCCAGATCCCCCACCAGCAGGAGCAGGGGTTCTGTCTTCAGCATCTTTTCATATTCGGGATGCTGGATTCAGGGACGTGGATGCACGCGTGTATGTTTAATGCATCCACGGTGTGATTCTGAGCATCTGTGGTTGTAGGGTTCTTTAGTCCAAGGGGCTGGGATTGGCTCTCCCAAGGAATCGGTGGCCTGGGCATGTGTCGTTTGTAGCTCCCTTCCCTTCCTTGCTGCCTTCTGTCTTCCGCCCCCTTTCCTGAAGCACGGGCTATGAGAACTGGCTTTGCTGATGGGGGAGACTCTGGCTGGAGGGCCCCTGGCTTGACCTTGACCCCACCGTCCACATTTGCAGGGAGAGAAATGAGGGCCCCCACCCTCAGCTCCTGGTGGATTTGTCTCCCTGGCGGCCCCCCTCACACTCAGGCACGCCCTCTGCAGCCCTTGGCCCCCACCACCTCCCCGCCCACAGAAGAGGCCACCACCTGGGGGGACTTTGGCTTTCCCCAGGTGCCCCTGCCACCCCCATCAGACAGAAGGCCCGCTTCAAGATCCGCGATGCCAAGTGCCACCTCCGGCCCCGCAGCCGGGAGCCCACAAGGGAGGCCCTGAGGCAGCTGCTGCTGGGTGAGTGGGCCACCTGCCACCAACCACATGGCGCTGGGGGACCCGTGCTCGGGAGCTGGGAGCCAGGGTCCAGCGGGGCTGGGCTTCCAAGGGTGGGGCCTCTTCGTCCTCACCACCACGGTCCCTTAGCCCTAGGAGCTACACCTGGTGCAGTGTCCACAGCAATGGTGTCCCTTGGGAAAGCAGGCAGCAGGAAGTGGAAAACTTGGGTCCCCCAGCATTCCTGGGGTCTGTCGTCCCCACCTCACCTGGGGCTAAACGAGCTCCCAGGACAAGAGCTTTCTGCACAGGCCGGCCGTGTCTAGCAGCAAGAATCACAGAGCCCGGTGCCGAGTGAGGGTGGCCGGGAAGTCCGTCCGGGCTGGGGCCTGGCAGGGGAAAGATGGCGAGAAGGGCCCAGGAGGGGAGCATGCCACCTCCGCCTCCACGAAGCGTCTCGAACTCCTCAGCATCCCTCCTCTAACGTGACAGACCTCAGCCGCAGCAGGCCCAGCCAGGCGAGAGCTGCACAGCTGCACCAGGAATATGCAGGGGTGCCTCCCCGAGCGGCAGTGTGGGGGACTCGGAGGGTTGGGGGCAGGGCCTGGCTCAGCCAGCAGCCCCTCCTGAGACCTCAAGCCAGCCCCAGCCTCCTCCAGCCTCAGTTTCCCCATCTGCACCTTGGACTGTTAAGCAAAGTGAGACCCTTGCCGACAGCCGTCGGTGTGCAGGGCCAGATAGGACCCTAGTCCCTGCCCCGTGCCACCTTGGCCACAGCGGTCCCTTCCTTGTCCAGAAAATTGCCACTTGACCTTTGTGACCTTCAAGTGTGACTCCTCCAAGAAGAGACGCCGTGGCCGAAAGTCCCCATCGAAGGAGGTGACCCATATCACAGCAGAGTTCGAGGTTGAGACAAAGATGGAAGAGGCCTCAGGTGGGTGAAGGAGTCCCTTGTGTGCTGCTGAGGGCCTCAGGCAGGACGGCGGACCGGGAGGAGTGGCAGGGGTCTGCCAGCATGAAGCTGGCCTCCCACCCGCGCACGGCTACTGGGCATAGAGGCCGGCCTGGCAGGCGGGGACTGGCAGAGTCACTGCCGGGTCCTTAGCATAGCTGCCTGCAGCCCGGCGTGGACAGGAGGCCCAGGGCAACGAGAGGAGCGGGGCTCGGGACCCACGGCGACAGTCATACGGCCTCTCCCCACCCGTCCGCGCCCTCGCTGGGGCCTGAAAGGGCTGTGCCTGCCGCCACCTCCGAACACTTGAGCCAAAGACCCACCGTCCCCAAGTCCCGGGGAGGGCTACGGTCCTGGCCTGTGTTTCACACCAGCACGTTCCTCTTGGCCGTGAAGGGGTGTTGAGTTGTGACAAAGGAGTCGAGATCTGTCGGCAAACGTGTGCTGGGTGTGCCCAGCCCCTGGGCGCTGTGGTCCCCATGCTGGCAGCACTGCTGGACACGGGCAGCAGACGCGCACACGGACTGCCCGGTGCTGGGGAGACACCAGAGGGGAGGGGCGTGAGAACAAACGGGGCGCAGAGCTGTGGTCTCTCCCCCAGGGAGGAGCCCAGGAAGTCTTCCCAAGAGAGGTGACATTTGAATCAGGACTTGAAATCAAAGTTCACCAAATGGAGGAGGTGGCAGGGAATGACATTCGGGCAGAGGGAATAGGGTAGGTAAAGGCGCAGAGGTCGGAGGGAGCTGGATGTGTTCGGGAAGCGGTGAGTACGGCGGGGCAGCTGCAAAGCGGAGCTCGTGTGAGTGTCGGAGCCCTGGGGGTTGAGGCTGGCAGGGCAGGCAGGGACTGGGCCACGAGCGGCCTTGGATTCAAGGCCAGAGTGCTGGACATTTTCCCAGGAACAGGGCAGCCTCGGTGTTTGTGTGGCAGGGGGAAGCAGCCATTGGGGAGTTATGCCGGGGAGGTGGTGCGATGCAGTGGCGGAGGCCTGGTTTCTGCTCAGATCCGCTGTGTGGCCTTGAGCAGGTCATCCCTCTCGGAGCCTCAGTCTCCCCATCTGGCAGATGGACGCAGCAGTGGTGCCTTGGCCCAGGCTGCTGCGAGAACGCGCTCCAAGCAGAGGCCCGGCCAGCACAGAGCCAGACAGAGGAACAGCCTCAGGGAAGAGGCCGCTCGCGGGGGCTGCGAGTGACAGTCCCTCCCACCCCCGCAGACACCTGCGGAGCAGACTGTGCGCGGAAGCGAGCGGAGCAGAGCTTGCAGGCCGCCGTCAGGACCCTGCGCAAGTCCATCAGCCGGCAGCAGTTCTCCGTCCAGGTCGCGGACACCGAGTACGAGGTGGCCCAGCGGCCGGCCAAGGCCCTGGAGGGCCAGGGGGCGTGCGGCACAGGCCAGGTGCTGCAGGACAGCAGATGCGGTGAGTCCCTGCCCATGGCCACTCGGACGCTCTGTCCTTCCTTCCACGTGTGGCCTGGGAGACAGGCACATCAGGAGGGGACAGAAACACAGGCCTGCCAGAGAGGAGCACCGTGGCGCTTGCCGCGATGGCTGTCATGTAAAGAGCACCCTCGGGTGCCCGGCCCTGGACAAGGCTCTCACTCAGTGAAAGTTTGTACATCTGACCCACATCACAATCCTGAGGAGGGGTGGGACAGGCGAGCACAGCCCAGCAAGGCCACAGCGGAGGGGTGCGAAGGGCATGGGGATCCATCTGTGTGGTTAGAGGCTTCCCACTGGGGGTGGCTTGGGAGCTGAGGGCACATGAGGCCGAGGGCCACGCAGGGGTGCAGTGCCACACTGCAGGCTGCTTCCTGTGAGGCCAGGCCCACAGCACAGGTGGGCAGTGAGGCCTGCCAGGGTCCTGCTGAGCGAGGCTGGTGACTTGACCAGAGCCCCAGGGGCTGGCCTGTGGAGATGGAACGGGTCTGAGGCAGCCGAGGTGGCTACGTGGTGGTGAAGCAGACGGTCCTTGTTCTAATGGGGTTTATGTCCACGTGGGGGAAAGAAGCGGACAGCGCGCGGGCGAGCACACCCACAGGCGATCTGAGGCACCAGGGCCTCGCAGGCCGGCGCCGCTCCGAGTGCTGTGGGACACTGGACGCGCTAAACCGGAGAGCAGCCTCATCTGCTGTCTGTCATGGGAAGGCCGTGCAGGGGTGGCCGAGCGAGGAGGGTGGAGCCCAGAACCAGGCGGCAGAAGTTGAAAGAACGAGACGAACGCAGCACCCTGCAGGGGCGGCTGGGGAGAGAGGGGCTTCGAGGACACCACCAAGGGTTCGGGCAGCTCGGGCGGAGGTGGCATCCCATTCCGCCCCGGGCGAACCTCGGGAAAGAGGGATGGCGAGGTTGACAGTTCCAACCGTGCTGGTGAGTCGGAGCCGCTCATACGCCACCCCCATGAAGCCGTGGAACAGGCGGCGGCGCCACGAGTCTGGAGCACAAGGCACAGGCTGGCCAGATCCGCTCGGGGAGCCGTTGCAAAGGGGGGGTTAGGAGCACAGATAGGGGAGCAGGAGAAGGCAGGACTTTGGCTCAGCCAGTGAAGCGGGCAGCGCTGCCTTCTCGCTGTCATTCCTGTATCCGCTTATTTTGAAACCCTTTCAGACTTTCAGAAACGTTGCCAGACAGAACAACGAGTTCCCCTTACTCTCTCCATCAGTTTGCTCACTTGCTCAATGCAGCCAACTGCGTGGCTCTGTCTTCAGCCCACCATCTCTGCACCCTCCTCAGCCACCAGGCCTTCCTGCCCATGCCTCTGTCACTCCCCTAGCCCTCTGCGCTGCCCCATGTCCTCAGGTGCCAGCTCCGCCACAGGGGGAAGGAGAGGGAGGCAGAGGAGCTTAGGTTGGATGACATGACTGTGGCCCGTCCGGGAGGCAGCTCGTACCCTACCCAAGGGCTCAGAGCGGGAGGGCGGGAGGTGACCAGAGGGAAAACAAAGGGGTGGCAGCATTTACGAGTGGGCGGAGGTGGGGGATCTGCAGAGGGTCCTGAGCAGAGCAGCCAAGAGGAAGCGCAAGACCAGGGCCAGGCCTCCAGCGTCCTCACAGATGGCACCGTCTGGCTTCTACCCTAGATCCTTCTAGAATGGATCTGTCTCACAGGACAGAGCCTGGGCTTCAGGCACTGGAGACAGACCACGCAGTCACCACTCCTCATCTCTGCCACGAGCAATCTCTCCACTTTGCCCCTGCAGTGGCCTGCGAGCCTGGCACCTACTTCAGCGGAGAGTCCGGCCAGTGTGTGCCGTGCACACCGGGGACCTACCAGGACGGGGACGGCCAGCTCAGCTGCACACCGTGCCCCAGCAGCGACGGGCTCGGCCTGGCTGGTGCCCGCAACGTATCGGAATGCGGAGGCAAGTGTGGGCCCAGCCCGGAGGAGAGGCCGGGGCAGGGACACGGTGCTTCCGGTCTCCACAGAGGCTCCCAGAGCAAAGGCCCAGAGCCCCGCGGTTCTTTGTGAAGCTCTGCGCCATATCCCGAGCTGGCCCCGACCTCCCGCAGCTACGCACACAGAATGCACTGCAGACACGCAGCGTCCCCGTGACCAAGAGTGCCGCAGCTAGCGGCACTGGGCCGCACGCATGCTGCATGCAGTCTGGGGAGGACTTCACAGTTTACGAACCCGTGATCGCTTGCGGGACAACTTGCGGCTTATGACGGGGGCGTGTAGTGCTTCATGGGTGACCACACCTGTTGCATTTCGTGGAGAACCCATCGCATGGCAAAGCTTTATGGAGTGTGCCATGTACTTGGGCCAGAACTGCTCAACACAGAGAACTTTACAGTTTTCCCTGTAGATAGTTTGAAAAGCCCTTTGTCAATCTACCAAGCGCACTGTGGTTTGCAAAGAGCTTTTCCATTTACTACCCCACTTAACCAGGCTCATAGCTCCTCCCATCAGCCTCCCTTCTGGGGCCATTCTGGGGATCACCCAAGGGAACAGGTGGAGAAAGGCACACCTGCGAGGGTAGGGGAGTGGGAGACTTAGGTGGTGGAGAGCTCCAGCCTTCTCTGGGAGACAGAAGAGACTGGAGCCCAGCCCTGAGTTCTGCAGGCTGGCCGGCTGCCCTGGGCCCACGGAACCCTGCAGGGGTGTGGTCTCTGCCCCCGGGGAGATGGCGACTGTTAGCACAGAGTGGCCCCTGGTGAGAGCGGAGAATTCCAGGGTCCGGGCTGAGGGCACCAAACCCACCTTCTCCTCAATGCCAGAGTATACTCTACGCTCTGACTTTCTACTAGGACGTGTTGTCCCCTCCCTTTGTCCCAGCTGTGTGCTCGGGGACCTCACAGGCCTCCTCCCTCTGCTCTGGCCCAGCCCTGCAGATCAACAAGGCGGCATCAGCCTGGAGCTTAACATGTGAAGACCGGGTGCAGCCTGCCCCCTGGGGAGAGTCCCTCTGACCTCCCACGACCCGGGTCCACACTTCCCAGCTCAGCAACAAAGCCACTTGCTCTTCACCCCACAGCCCTCCTTGCTGCTGGAAGTAAAGCGAGGCCAACAGGCTCTCCCAGGCCTCTCCCCTCACCCACCCCCAGCCTTGGCACCCTGGCGCCCTTCCCAGGGGCAGGCGAGGGCTGAGAGCAGGGCCCTGACCGAGGCATCCTCCCGCCAGCCTGAGCCGCGACCTCTGACTTCCAGGCCAGTGCGCCCCAGGCTTCTTCTCCGCAGACGGCTTCGGACCCTGCCAGGCCTGCCCCGTGGGCACTTACCAGCCCGAGCCCGGGCGCACCAGCTGCTTCCCCTGCGGAGGGGGGCTGCTCACCAAGCAGGAGGGCACGGCGTCCTTCCAGGACTGTGAGGCCAAAGGTGAGGACGTCCCGCCCACCCTGCCAGACTTAGGGACTTCTCTCCTCTATGCCTCGCACCTCCAAGGGCAGAGGAGGGGACTGGAACATCAGGCGGTGGACACAGGTGACCAGCACTGTGCCACACACTAGGACGGGACAAGAGGGGGCCCAACACGAGGCCGCCCACAGGTCTCTGCTAAGAGCCAGGCAGGCACCGTGGCCACCTTCCAGAGCTCTGAGGCCCAGGAGCAACGAGGACCGCCAGCTCCTGCGGCTGGGGGGGGCCTCCAGCTGCCTCTAGAGGGAAGGCTGGAAGGGGAGGCAGCAGGGCAGTGGGGGTGAGGTCACAGGTCACCCTAACTGGAGATCCTCCCTCCAGGGCTACAGTCCAGCCGCTCCTTCAGCCCCACCCCACCGCAGCCTGCAGCCTAGCTCCGCACTGATGACCCTGCTCCCTCTCAGACAAGCCTTGGGGGCAGCTCCCCTCCCCACCCCGCCAATGCCCAGTGAGCCCGAGGACACACAGACTGCTCTGGCCCCGCCTTCTGGGGGAGAGCCCCAGCTCCTTAGCCGCCCCCCCTCCCCCACCGGCTCCTGCTGCGTTCTCTCCCCTTGATCATTTTCTCCCCTTGACCGTGAGCCCTGTACGGAGTGTCTGGACTCCGCTTCCTCTCTCCCCATTCCCTCCTGAACCCCCACCAGCCATCCAGACTGTCACCCCCACTGCTCCCCAGGAGTGGATCCCATCAAGGCAGCCCCCAGGACCCTGGCTTAGCGGAGCCCGAGTCAGTTCTCGGTTACCGTGACTGGCCCAAACCGCAGCCCAGCCTCCCCTGTCCCCTCGCCCTGGTAGTGCTGGACGTCCCAGGCCCGTCTCACTCCTGGGTCTGGAAACACTCATCCTCATCTGCTCACTTTAAATGGCATCTCTGCACGGTGACCTCAGCTTCTGCCTCCAGCCTCTCCCCTGAACCCGACTCCACACTCTCCTGCCCCGAGAGCTCCCCCACCTAAGGAGCCCTCAGACCCCACCTATGCAGAGCTCCTCCCCTCCCGCCGCAGTCACCCCCCCAGAGCAGGGCACCTCTGTCCTGCCTGGTGCTGGGGAACCTCGGGGCCACTCTGAGTGCTCCCTCCCTGTCGCCTCACAGCAGCCCATCCGCAGCCTCTGCTGGCTCCACCTTCTTAACGCCACAGCCCCACTGCCGCCACCTGACCCAGGCCACGCCTCTCCCAGGTCGCCTTGACTTGACATGCACTGCCCACTCCCAGTGCGGCAGCCAGGAACACGCAGTGGCTCCAGTGGGCCTCCTCGCCCAGAGGAAGCCTAGTCCTCCCCATGGCCTCCGGCCTCCCTCCGGCCAGCACCACCTCCTCCCTCCACTCCAGCCACACCTGCCCTTAGGGCGCACACCCCACCCTCTGGAGAGCTCCACACCTGGCTGACGGCATGTCCTTCCCCATCTATGTCCCCAGACGCACCTGCGTCCTTGGTAGCGTGAGCAGGATGTTAGCCTCAGGAGCAGGGCTCAGGCTGGCTCCCTGAGAGCCCAGAGGTCCCCCGAGGTCCCCAGAGGTCCCCGGTGCACTCTGCACAATGCCGACAGGATTAGGGAGCACAGGGCTTGGCCCGTTCAGGGGCTGGACGCGGGAGGTCACTGGGCGGTGGGGAAGGGCCTTGAACTGTGTGCGAGACCTGAGGGCAGGGGGCCCTCTCCCACCAGTGCGCTCCTCCCCCCGCAGTGCGCTGCTCCCCCGGCCACCACTACACCACCACCACCCACCGGTGCGTCCGCTGCCCCGCTGGCACCTACCAGCCCGAGTTCGGCCAGAACCACTGCATCACCTGTCCGGGCAACACCAGCACCGACTTCGACGGCTCCACCAATGTCACACACTGCAAAAGTAGGTGCTGTTCTCCTCAGGCCCGCGGGGCTGGGGGCAGGTCATGGGGGGCACAGGAAGCCCAGGGACTCCTCGCTCCATCTCATCTCCGTGGGACGCCCACCTGAGGCCCCGTGGTGTGCACGGTGCGCCTGGCTTGGCCCGCTGGGTGATGATGTGGTTGTGCCGGTCCTCCGTCAGCTGCTGTCACGCAGCAGGGTGGCCTGCGCCTCCGTGGCTGGCCAGGCCCTGCTCCGGGCTCTGGGTCTGTGGACGG